GGGACACTGATCAACGGGGAGCTGGAGATGATTGATCTTGCACTTAAGTATCTCTTGTTAACAACAGCAGATGGGACACTACTGCGAGGTGATACGACTGATACATCACCCTCATTCACTTTGTTGCACCAGCTACTCAGTTACAGAACTTGGGTAGTGAAGCTGAGCAGCTACAGAACTCAGGGTGTTATGTGTATGGGAGGGCTGGTGACTGTTATTTTAGAAGCTTGTAGCGTCCCGCTGAGTTCAAAGCCTATTGCACCGAGATTCATAGATATTCAGAATTTGAGGCAAGCTCAATGGTTGCATTGGGAGAAACCAATGTGTCACTCGAGTGTGCACGTCGAGTGACGGTTGTGTCGCATTCCTTCGGTTCACGCGATCACCCTACTCGATCCACCACTCGATCACCCTACTCGATCAACCGCTTGATGCGCCACTCGATGACCCTACTCGATCACGTCCGTCGAGTGAAGTATGTTTCTATAATGCATCTCTGCTTCTCACTCGATCGTCCCACTCGATCCTATGCATGTTGAGTAACGCGTGTTCCTCTGCTTCGCTCTGCATGTCTCCTAAGTACCTGAAACACTCCAAATATGCAGAACGTATGCAAGACATGCATGATATACATAAAACCTACCTAAGTATGTAAAACATGCAGAACGAGATCAATATGATGCGAATGAACAAGTGAATGATGCTGAAAAGATGATGAATGCATGCTCAAAAAGTGATGAAATACAAACTTATCAATGGAATGAGGAGAAGTAGGCTTCGACTCGAATAGCTGAGAAACCGCAAAAAGGGAACCATGATGCAGATTGTTCAAAGGGAGCTCTGTTGCAGCTGACTCCTCATCTTCTTTTAGGGTCATTTCATAACAGCTTTTGCAACGTTGCTGCTGAGAATCATGGTTCTCCAGAGAGAGATTGGCAAAGGTGATATGTCGATGAGGATCAGTCAAGGTTTTCGCCTGAGGAGGGAATAGTTGGGACTTTTCGCAGAACTTTTACTCTCCGATGGCGCACAGGAGGAGTTTCCAGAGTGGCTACCAAGAGAGTCAGTTCTTGCTACGGAAGAAACATCTTTTGGAGATTAAGGAAAAAGGAATGATCAGGGGCATGGGAAGTGTATCCATGTTTTTCTTTGGATTGCGTGAGATAGGTTTTCGAAAAGGTTGCTTGAGAGTCTGAAGGCATCCCTAATAAATATAACGGATCGATCCCTTTGCTGGGTTGGTTCAAGAACTTGTCAATTATTTTTACCAACATCCAGAGCTTTTCCTTTGCCTTTCAGGTCACAAGGAATAGGCTGCTCGAGACAGAGAGCTTACTGGTTAGCAGAAGTAGAACCATCCGTCTTTGAGGGATTTGGTAGGGAGCTTCACGCCGAGGCTTATCTCTCTTCGCAACTCTCTTTGATGGAGAGTTTTGATACCTTGAATGGTTTGAAGAACAGCCTTGTTGAAGGCCAAAAGGAGCTCTGCTAGCTGCAACAGATTGGGAGACTCGGGAAAAGAAGCTATATTCCCGTGAAGGAGCTCTCAGAGCTTTTTCTTGTTCATAATATTTCAGGTAGAGAACTCTCTGTTCTTTGTCCACGAGGGAACAAGATTCCGGAGCGAAAGTGATATGACTATGGTTGAGCAAGTCTCAGAGCACGTAATGGAGGAAGTCGTTGACAAGGAGCAGCACGAAAACAACGAGGAAAAATCACAAAGACGAGGAGCAGCACGTCGCCGAAGAACAGCTCGAAGCGGAGGAAGCACTAATCATCCCGGAAGGTCCTCTAACACGCTCAAGGCTTAAGGAGCTCAACCCATCAACCAATGGAAGACTTAGGGAGGTAAACAAGAAGCAAGAAGACGTGGCTCAAGTCTCCTCAATAATAATCACGGCTCAAAAGGTTCAGTAAAAGGCCTTGAAAGTGTTACTTAGGCCACATATTACGATCCTCCTAGAATCGACACTCTTGAAGTTGAGGGAAGGATAGGCTTTGCACTTAAGGGATCGTGAGATCACTTAGACCAAAGGATGTGGAGCGAATGGACACACAAAGGTTGCGGAAAAGCCTTTGATTTACCAAACTTGGACTTGCCTATGGATATTACACACCAAAGAAAAGAACAAGAGAGAGTGATCTAAATTAAAAAGAGTTTTTGATAAAAGATTATATGAGTTACAAATGAGAGATAAAGGGGGATTATATAGGAGAGGAGGATGAAGAAGAAGAGGGGAGAGAAGAAGAACATGCAAGAGCATGCACAAGTGTTTTGGATATACACTCATGCAAGTTCATGCACCAAGTCTTGGAAATAACAAACACATTAAATGCAAAAAACAAAGAGAAAAGATAGAAAATAGGCTAAGGGAAAGTGATGGCCCTTGGACCCACGAATTGGGTTTGGTAAAAGGCCTTGAGTGTGTTCTTTTGGAAGGGTTGCGACCAGAGCTGTCATACTTCTTCACAATGGAACATACTTCTTCACAATGGAACATCCTTCCAATGAGGCTAAGGTGCATGCGAGAAACAATGGCAAGAAGAACACCATTGCATCATCTTCATCTTCACCTTTGATCGATGTGACGCAATATGACATATCTTCGACAAGTGTTTTTCACTCACTTGATGATATCACTAGCATCTTTTCCACTCTTTGTATGCACAAGATTTATTTTGAAGATGGATCAATGACTTATGTAGAACATCAGAGACAGTTAATCCTGAATCTCAGAGATGTTGTATAGAAAGAGATAATGAAACTTCTGGATGCGGGTGTCATCTATCCTATCTCTGATAGTATTTGAGTGAGCCCGGTGCATGTAGTGCCTAGGAAAGGTGGTGTCACTGTGATTAAAAATGACAAGAATGAACTAATACCAACAAGAACTATCACACGACACCTTATGCGCATTGATTATCGAACACATAACTCTACAAATCGTAAAGATCATTTTCCACTGCCCATTATTGATGAAATCCTTAAGAAATTGTCAAACCATCAATATTACTGCTTTCTTGTCGGGTATTCGGGATTCTTTAAAATACCGATTCATCCTGATGGTCAAGAGAAAACCACCTTTACTAGTCTTTATGGTACTTTTGCTTATCGTAGAATGCCTTTTGGATTATGTAATGCCTCTGCTACGTTTTAGCGTTGCATGATGTCAATCTTTAGAGATATGATTAAGGATTTTATGGAGGTTTTTATGAATGATTTTTCTGTGCATGGTACGTCTTTTGCTATTTGTTTGTTTAATCTGTGCATGGTACTTCAGCGTTGTGAGGACAAACACATGGTCTTAAACTGGGAGAAGAGTCATTTCATGGTGCGGGATGACATTGTACTTGGGCACAAGATTTCAGAAAAGGATATTGAGGTTGACAGAGCTAAGATTGAAGTTATGATGATTATGCAGCCACCAAATTCTTTGAAGGGAATCAGAAGATTTTATAAAAGATTTTTCCAAGATTGCTAGACCTCTCACTCAGTTTTTGTGCAAAGAACAAAAGTTTGAGTTCGATGGGAGTTGTTTGCAGGCTTTCAAAACAATTAAGGAGTCCTAGGTGAGTGCTCCCATTGTGCAACCACCATATTGGGAACTACCTTTTTTGAGATAATGTGCGATACTAGTGACTATGCAGTCGACACTGTTTTGTGACAGCAAAAATATAAGAAGTTGTATGCTATTTACTATGGTATTCGCACACTTGATGGAGCACAAGTAAACTACACCACCACAAATAAAGAGCTTCTTGCAATTAGGTTAATTGTTAGACACGAAAGTGTTATTGATTTCCTGAAAATAATCTAGATGAGCAAAATATCTATTCGCATAGAGATTTGGTTTAGGGATTTTGTGAACTTATCAAACCTGAATTAAATGCATGTCTTAAACTTATAAATTTGCAAAGATTTTTGGAATTTAGGGTTTTAGACATAGATAGTCTTTGCAACGAAAGTTGATTGATTATATTTTTGTGATTTGAGTTCAAGAACGGTGCTTTATAAATCTTGACAATTATTTATTTGCAATTCTGAATTTCCTGAGAATATCCCTATGCCTAGCGTTTCCTCATTATTGTTTAAAAACCAATCGTTGATTTAATTTGCTGTTTCACATTATTTAAAACCTGCTTGCTTAGCTTAATTTAACACCGAATATTTATTGTGTAATATTTGAGTCTCTGTGTATTCGATCCCTAAGTATTACAATGATCTCTTAATTGAGAGAGTAGCTCAGGACAAATTTGAGCCAATCAAATTTTAGCGCCGCTGCCAGGGACTCAATTTTGATTACCATTAGATTAAGGTTAAAAGTTTAGTCTAAGTTTTTTTTATTTTATTTTGTTACTTACGCTTTTCTTTTCTCTTTTCTTTTTGGTGTTTCAGGTTTATGTCTAATACCAGAAGCCAGTAGAAGAAGGAGTTAGTTGATCTCAACAATTTAGAACTAGCGGGTTTAGAAAGAGGAATTCGCAAAGCTAAGAAAAAGGCAGCAATGGCACCGCCAATGATTTTGATTCAAGATGCTGAGGGTACTCTCAGAGATGGAGATGGGCATCTGAGGAATGCATAAGGGCATAAGCTTAATGTTGACGGGACTGTGATTCCTGAGCCAGTCACCGTCGGTGTCGAGCGAAACTAACTGGGTATCGATCGACACCAAGCCCCAGCGGACAATGCACAGTTGGCGTTAAATGCTGAAGCAGATGATGAGAACCGTACACTTGGAGAATACAACATGCCTGCACTGTTTTATTCTAACCGTTCCATGGGCATCCAATGGACCATATTGAGAAGTTTGAAGATCTGGTATCTAGCATCAAGCCTTATGGTGTATCTTCGGATTTTCTGCTCTGCAAGCTTTTCCAGCACTCTTTAGCTGAAGAAGCACTATCTTGGCTTAAGGAGTTGAAGCATGTATCTCTTACGTGCTGGAAGGATGTAAAAGTTGAGTTCTTGAACAACTTTTATGATGATGCGAGGTCAGAGGAGCTGCAAAAAATAGATATCTACCTTTTCTCAAGGGATCTCAAAGGGTTTCAAGGCTGCTTGGGTGCGTTTTAAGGGTTATCAGAGAGATAGTCCACACCACGGGTATGAAAAATTTCAGCTTTTGGGCATTTTCTATAGAGGATTGGATTGGAGGTACCAGATGGCTTTGGATGCTGCTAACAACGGTAACTACAACACAAGGTCTCCAGCTCAAGCCACCAAACTGATTGAGAACTTAGCTTCCAGCAACAGTACTAAAGTCGCTAGCTCAAAACATGGATGGCGTTCAACTCGGTTACGCTAAGGCAAAGCTCTATTCAGTGCATAACCTTCTTGTTACTAAGAAGAGTGTTAATTTTGCTGCTGAGGTTGAGGCTTTTGAATCATATGAGGATGAAAAAGAAGACTTGAACTACGTCAATGGTGCTGGGTATCAAGGTCAGAAGTTTGGTAACACACAGGGTAACCCGTACAACAATGGGTATGGTCAGAAAGGCACCATCAGTTTCGTCAGAACCTAAGGAAATTCTTCTTAGCAGTCACCTCCCTCTCCATCTGCAGATATTGAGATGAAGTCAATGTTAGAACAGATTCTAGCGGGTCAGCAGAACATGAACGTAAGAACACAACACAGATTTAACGTGGTTCACCAACACTTGATGTTGGCTACGTCCACGGGCAAAGAGAGACTTTATTACATGTCCAGTGGATTTCAACTGGAAGATGGATGCCATGTACACTGACTTGAATGGCAAAATCGAAGCACTGAGCACATATACCAATAAGTTAGAAACTCTTGCTGCACTGAGTATTGGATCTGTGAAGAAACGAGAAGGGTGTAATGCCATTTTGATTAGAGATGGAGATAATGTTTGGGAGGAGCAAACAAGTGACGATGATGAAACCGCACTTGCACAGCAGGTGTCGCTCGACACCTACACCAGTTCTCGTGAATTTGGTCCCCGACGGACCGATATCGACCGCGATCGACACCAATGTATCGACACCAGAACCCAGTATCGACCGACACCTTCCCTGTGTCGATCGACACCCCTCACAGACAGACCCAGATTCTCTTGAAACTCTGCGATTATCTAAAGAAAATATCTACAAGCCTAAGGTTCCTTATCCAAAGTCTAGGAAGTCTAAACAGGAGATGGAGGAAGCTCGATGCAAGGAAATGATGGAAAAGGTGATAAGTGAGATACATTTAGATCATGCAGATCAGGATTCACCTTTGCTTAAGCGGTGTGTTAGAGGATGGTCCAAAATGACGTGAGCTCTGAGGAAGGAGCTTTGCTGGCTAGAGACATGTGTGCTATCTTCTTGAAACAGACCCCGCAAAGTAAGAAAGAAAAGAAGAAGAAAGTGTTTGTTTCTGAAAAAGTTAATGCCATAATACAGAGCAAGATTCCAGAGAAGTTAATTGATCCAGGAAGTTTCGTGCTAGACTGCTCTATCTTCACAGAAAGATTTCCTCACTCTCTTTGTGATCTTGGCTCAGGTATCAACTTGATACCATACTCTGTTGCTGTGAGACTTGGGTTGACAGATTTGAAGCCTATTAGGATCTCTCTTATCCTAGCTGATAGGTCCAAAAGAATTCCCGAAGGTCTTTTAGAGGATGTTCTAATAAGGATTGGTGAATGCATAATGCCTACAGACTTTGTGGTTTTGAAGTATATCGAAGAACCTCAGGATCCTATTATCCTTGGGAGATCTATCTTGACTACCGTTGGTGCTCATATAGGTGTTCAGAAAGGAACGATTGGATTGCATGTGGGTGATTTGGTTATGAACTTTGACATGGAAGTTGAGGAGAGCACCTACTATTGTTGGCCTGACTTTTCTCTAGAGGAAGCAATGGATGACATGGCAGTCATAGAGTATTCAGAAGACATTACTGCTAGGGACCAGATCGAGGTTCTATCTACTGATAAGATTCTGGAGCATGACGTTTTTGTGCTAGAGATGAGGATCACTGAGGCGAACTGCACAAAAAGTGCAGAAACACGAGCAGCAGGGTCAGTGTCGGTCGACACCACCAGTGTGTCGATCGACATCCCTCGTCACGACAGTCTAAACTTGCCAAAAACGGATGGTTTTTGGGTTGATTTTAATGCTGCAAGCTTGAGCCATGTTCTGAATCGGAAAGCTTCACCACCCATACTCCAGAGACCTCGAGAATAGCAAACGTACGCAACTTCTTTACCCAAACCTTCTCATATCATCAATAAGAATTTCAAAGGTACAAAGACTGTTTTGTAGTTAACCAAGGCACGAGATTATCGTAGAGCGCTTGGTGGTTCTTTTGATGATGTTGTAGGTAGAAGAAGTGTCCCACCCATACCTAGATCATGCCATGCTGTTGTTTCTCGTGTACTTGGTCGATCTCCTACACATAATGCTTATACACCACCTTGGATGATGAGACACTATTCTCGGAGGCATTTACTGCCGCTTCCCGATCCACCGGACGCTTGAGCTCCGACAAAGTCAAGCTAATGACTGAAAACAAGCGCTTAGTGGGAGGCAACCTACTTGTGAGTTTTTCTATTTCTTTTGCCTTTAAATATTAGTTTTATTTTCTTTATTCGCCAATATTAGACTTGGTAACACTGAAGACAGTGTTGTTTAAGTCTGGGCGAGGTAATTACTAACATTGTTTATTCTTTTGGAGTTTTATCGAGTCAGTCCAAATTTTTCTTTTTATTTTTTGGGTTTTATTGAGTCAAAATTTTTGTAGGGAACAATGAACTTAGTCTAACGGTTTCTCTGATTTGGATTAACACTCTTATGACTCTTGATTATGCTTGATCTCAGAACCAAAGTTTGGAATGACTATGAGCCGTATCAACAATCCTGAAAGCCCTTATTCATTGGATATCTAGTTGATCTAACGTTGTCTCTACTTTTATCAGGACTTAATTGGACTTAGTCTCTTACCTTGGTAGTTGGAATACATTGGACTAGACTTCTTCTTCGAGCCGCACAAGACACAGCACTTCTTCAAAGTATGATTTCTTCCTTCTCTCTTCCCTTCAGCCTTTAAAAGAAACTGTGGAAAAGGCTGTAGGTAGAAGTGATATGAGGGATGTCGCGTAAACTCGTGCATAATTCGGATCTCATGGATACCCGAATAAAAAGAAAAGAAAAAAGAGAGTTCATAAAAAAAACAAAAGGAATAGTTGAAAAAATAAAATGATACCCTAGAAAAGTAGGGAGATGTCGATTACCTTAGAAGTGAGAAAAGGGAGAAAAAGTGAAATCATTCGAAGAATGTCTTGGTTTGAGAGGAGTCCATATGCCATTGATCGATATTCCCTCGGTAAGAATTCATCTTTACTTGTTTTAAATTATGTAAAGAGATGACAATGGAGAGATTGGAGATTCCTGAGGATTGTGGGATTATAGTAAGGAATGTTGATGTTTCTCATAGGCAAAGTACATAAAGTAAGTTCTAGAGTCAAGGTGATGAAGAGTGCAAAGAAGAGTTTCCTGCAGTTGAGTGAGTTCCCGCGTTTTCAAACTTCTTTCACAGGTTAAATTTTTATTTTGCTTGAGGGCAAGCAAAGGCTAAGTCTGGAGGAGTTAATATATCATGGTTTTTACGTGTTTTTGGCCATGATACAAGTCTTATTTATAGAGATTTTCTAGTGTTTTCGAGTCTTTTTAAGTCATTTCAGGATTAGGAGCTATTTGGCATGGATTGGAGCATTTGGGAGCATTTGGAGAAGATGTGCCGAAGGAACGTACCGAGAGAGCACATTTGGTGTGAGTGTCGAGCGTCACAACCTCTGGTGTCGATCGACACCAATATCTGACGGCAATTGAATTTTACGCTTAATTGAAATTAAGAAGATTTGCATATTCGGCCCAGAAGTTTCCCTTATTAACAATTAAGCCCAGTTCGTGGTTAAGACATATATATTGAGTTTTTAGGGTTTTGTTAAGACTGATCTTTTTTTTTGGAGAGAGAGATTTGTAAAGAGCCAGGAGAGAAGAATCAAAACCTCTTTCATAGAAGATTCAGAACTCTTTTACTTCTTCTATTACTTTCTTTTATAAAATCTATTTTATTCATGATGTTTGTTTCATTCACCATGTCTGAGTAGATTTCTTGTTAGGTTTAGAGTTTTCAAAGGAATTCATGAATTGTTAGGTTGTTAGATTGTTAGGATTGAATCAATAGAGTTCTTCATCTAGATTGTGGTTAATTTGTTCTACAGTAGTGAAAGCAACCTAGAATATGATCTTAGGTTAATTGGTAGATACGAAAGTGTTATTGATGTTGGATATGACTTGAATATGATTGCGCCCATTACTTTAGACCCAATCCGTTTAGGTTAACTAGGGTTTATTCCTAGACTATTCCTTATAATTATTCTCCTTAACCTAGCCTCCTATTCTATTCTGAACTCTCTGTTGTTTCTCCAGTAATAAAGTCTCTCTTTGCCCGTGGACGTAGCCAACAGCAAGTGTTGGTGAACCACGTTAAATCTGTGTTGTGTTCTTACGTTTATGCTATCTTACTCACATCAGTTATAACAATTGATTTCCTGAAAATAATCTAGATGAGCAAAATACCTATTCACAAAAAGATTTGGTTTAGGGATTTTGTGAACTTATCAAACCTGAATTAAATGCATGTCTTAAACTTAAATTTGCAAAGAGATTTGGAATTTAGGGTTCTAGACATAGATAGTCTTTGCAACGAAAGTTGATTGATTATATTTTTGTGATTTGAGTTCAAGAACAGTGCTTTATAAATCTTGACAATTATTTATTTGCAATTCTGAATTTCCTGAGAATATCCCTAGGCCTAGCGTTTCCTCATTATTGTTTAAAAACCAATCGTTGATTTAATTTTCTGTTTTACATAATTTAAAACCTGCTTGCTTAGCTTAATTTAACACCGAATATTTATTGTGTAATATTTGAGTCTATGTGGATTCGATCCCAAAGTACTACAGTGATCTCTTAATTGAGAGAGTAGCTCAGGGCAAATTTGAGCCGATCAATAGTAGGTTAGTCTTCCTAGATCACTCATTTCAAACTTACTTGCCATTCCCTTTTTAAGTCAACTATCAACTCTAAGCTAGAACCTGTAACAAGCAAATCATCTACATAGACTGCCACAATTAAAGTTGTTCTTGCTCCTGTTTTTGTATATTGAGGGTTACTTGGAGCACTTGTCAAAGTTGAATTCAGCAAGAATTTTATTTAACTTAGTCTTACATGCCTAAGGTGCTTGCTTTAGTCCATATAGAGCTTGGTGTAGTTTGTAGACCTTCTCCTCATTGAATTTGATCATAAAACCTTCTCGTTTGTTGACATAGACATCTTCCTTCAAATCTCCATGTAGAAAAGCAGTCTTGACATCTAAATGATGCACTTCCCAACCAATCTATTCCATGTCTTTGAACATAACCCTTTACCACGAGTTTAGCTTTTTATTTATAAATAGTGATATCGTCATTTCGTTTGATCTTGAAGACCCATTTCAATCCGATTGATTTAGTGTTTATACAAGACTCGGTGGTAAGCTTGTACTATGATAGAGATGATGGCTTCATAAGTTGGCGGTCACTTCTCTCTTGTGAAAGAAAGATGGTAGATTATGGAGATCTGACACGATGGCAGTCGCTTCTCTCGTGTTGGATCGAATGGAGGGGAAGTGCTGGCGGATTGAAGTACACCACAGAGATGTGATTGATCTCTGATACAGTGTACAAACTCAGCCTTAGTGAATCACACACACAAGACAAAGAACAAGCTTATTATCTCACAAATATTTAAAGAGAAAACTGACAAAATTTTGGTTTCTTTATTGATAATCAAGGGTGCCAACTTGTACAAATGCTGCAAGGGGGACTTTATAAGAGTCCTTCAGCTAGCCCTAAGGTCGAAATAAATGAAAATTGCAACAAAGGAAAACAAATAAAAGCGATAACACAAAACCATTGTTTTCGGAAAGAAAATAAATCAAATACTAAAGCAAATTTAACATCTCACGTCTTCTAGTCGATGATGGGGATTAGTGGACATGCAAAGATTGAATATACTGACTAGATCACTTACTTGGATGTGATCTAGGCCAAATAGTTGTTCTCTGAACTACATAACTACTCGCTAATCTACTTCAATAGTCTTGTCAGGTACTCTTTTGTTTGTTGGTTTCTTGAAGTAAAGGGCTTCATGGAGTTTCTCTTGGGTAGTTTGATCAGTATCTTGAAGCTCTTCATGTCCTTGATGTCTTGTTCTTGATCTTCACTCTCTTGATCACTCTCGAAGGTGAAGCTTGTTTTGCTCGTTTCTTGTAACGCCATTGTCGTCTTTTGGATTCAAGAGGTTTTTTGACCTATCAAAGGAGAATTCATACCTGGGGAAATGGTACGTTCAAGAATCATTTAGTTAAATGCTTCAGCAAGCTCTTCCTCGGCAATGGGATCTTATCCGTTGTGATGGAATAAAGATGGTAACAGACCAATTGACGTCAATCAGCTCTAGTGAACTCACAATGTCTTGTACAGATAAGTTGAATCTCTTCCTAAGTTGTTTAGATGTTGAACATGTCATGGGACCTTCTGGGACTACTGGTACATGATGTGGTTCGGCGGGTTGGACTGTAGAATCGATGTCCGCATCAAGCGCCAACGAGAAGCTTTACTAAGCTCCAGGTTTTATTCTTCACTAGCATCTCTCCATACTCTTAATTTTCTAGCTTCGCTGAAATCCCATGGGTTTTCTTTAATTGTATATAAGAGTTGTTATCCTTCGATGTCTGCTAGCAACACATAATCACTTAGGTAACCCGGTTTCTTTACGATGTCGCTTGAGGCTGTCCTTATTCTTCCTCATGTTCTTATTCCTCATTCTTATACCCATCTAGACTCTCATGTTCAATCGTATCGCCATTAGAATAGAAAATGCATCCAAACACTCGTAGATGTTCTATATTGGGCTTCTTGTTCGTAAAAACTTAATATGGTGTTTGATTAGTCAATACTCTTGTTCATACCCATTAAGGATGTAGATCTCAAGTCTCACCGCTCTCCCCATAAATAATTAGGCATGCTCAAGTGTTTTAAGTTGCTTGGTGTCATTTCTAGCAATGTCGTATTGCTTATTTCAACGAATCCATTTTGTTAAGGTGTATAATGTGCAGTGAGATGTCCATGGATGCCTTT